TTTTATTCAAAAATAAAAACATCATCGTTTTCTCACATCACATAAAGCCATATTATAACATCGACTGAGATAAAGAATAAAATGAAATATTAAAAACACGATGTATCTCGCTACATTACGCGAGTACGCTTCTAGTGTATAAAAATACAAATAAACATTAATTTAAAAAAATGTCTAATACGACAAAGATGTGGTTGTTTGGTTTAATATTGGCAAAAGTTTTGTCCGAAATGCTTGGTAATAAATTAATTAAAAAATCAATTAGGAATTAAAAATTATGTAGTCATCACAGAAAGTTAACAAAACTAAAAAATTATTATGTAAACTGTAAAGTACTTATAGTTAATTAACATTTCTCTAATCCAATACTAAAAACATTTAAAACACAAAAAAATAATATGTTTTCATATCCAATAGATTCATTAAAGACTAATAAAATCCAATAAAAACCCAACTAAGATCCATTAAATTAACTAAGATTCATTAAGACCCCATGAGATCGAATAAAGTCGATAGATACATTAAAACCGAATATAACCTTTTAAAATTCAGTCTCTTTAAAACTCAATAGATCAACTAAAGCCCAATTAAGATCCACTAAAATCCAATAAGTCCTTTTATGATCCTTGTTGACTTATTAAGTATTTGTGTGAAAATATGTATTTCATATATGCAAGTGATGTGTATGAGGCTCAACTAAGATCTATTAAAGGCCAATAAGATCTTTTTATGATTTCTTAAAGTCCAATAACATCAATCTATTAAAGGCCAATAAGACCTTTTTATGACTTCATATTATATGTTTGTATGCAGATATATTTTTGGTGTGTATTGGTCTCGATAAAAGAATTATGATTCACTATACGTGGTATGTGATATATGTAAGTATTTCACACACACACACACACACACACACACACATATATATATATATATATAAACCCTAAAAACTTAAGAATTAGTATTTATGGTTTAAAAAAATAAAAAAAACATTTTTTTTTTAAAATCCGTCACAAATCCACCATAAAAAATAAAAAAATATACAAAATTAAATTTTATGGTGGATCAACGGCGGATGGTGTAATAACCGAAAAGTCAAATATGAATTAGAATACCGTAAAGTTTAAATGCAAACTCAAATTTGATCTCAACCAATTCATAATATGAAGGAAAATAATTATCGAAAATAATGGAACCACTAAGAGAGCTTATTACAATTCTTTAGTTGGAAGTCTAAAATTGTCAAAGTAAAACGAGTTTTATGATGCCATAATCCTCTATCAAAACGGATGACTACCCTTAGGTTAATTCAATCTCACACATAAATTCAATTAAATGTGATCTCGCAAGAACACATTTTCCCTATGGGTAACTAGCCACGACAGTCGCATCAATCACATACCAATTGAGTATTCATCCCGTCAAGATAGCAATCAAGATCGGCAACGCTACCATGTAAAATGGATTCACGGGTAACTCACTCATCCTCATGTGGATCGTTACAGTCACACACACATCACTCCTACCATGTAAGTTACCCATCTCATATATCAACTCTAACAAATATCTATTTAACTGCATAAAAACATGCATATTTTATTGGATAAAAGGGAAGAACGTTAACCTCAATAAAAGATGCAGTTCACCTACTCGTTTCAATCAAGACAACAATATATCAACACTTAAATTTCCAACCGCTTTTTATAAAACCTTGCAACATGTTCTAAATTTATAAAATAATCAATTAAAACAATCTATAACTTTTTCCAACATAAATTTTAGTCATCTTACAACACTGAAAATTAGTAACTGTAAAAACAGCATGTGCCAAAATCCAAGAAGTTTATGCAATTGCTGCAAGGAAGAGCTGTTGGGTTTTTCTTATGGTTTTAGCCCATGAGGAAGGCCCATATATATATATATATATATATATATATATATATATATATATATATAGCCCTCTTGCAGCCCTAGTTCTTAGATTTTAAGTGTGCAGCCAAAAATAGAAAAAAAAGAAAGGAGAGAGCTCCAAATATTTTCGTCACTTTTGATACAGCAGCAGAAAACTCTGTTTCCCAGAGATTGAACGGTCGGATCGTCGTGATTTTTGGTCAGTGTCTTCACAACATCTGAGCCAACGTTTTGGCGGTCGGATCGTGGTTTTGAGGTCTGGAGGTCAGGTTTTCTGGAGGTTCTTCACAGCAGCTTTTGTGGTGATATTCTCTTCACTTTTGCCTAATTTTGGTTTCATACATCTTGATGTGCTTATTTCCAAGTGTATGATGGTTTTGTATGCCTCTAGTGTAATCTAGAGAAGATTTTGTGTTGCTCTAATATTGGTGGTAGTGGATTTTAAGCGGCTCTAGTAGTCCCGTGGTTTTTACTCTCGTTTTGAGGGGTTTTCCACGCTAAAATTTTGTGTCTCATTGTGGTTGTTGTTTTTACGTCTTGGGGGTTGTTTACTTGCATTTAAAATATCCTATTTGTTTGCATCCTCAAAGGTTCATTCGGGTCGGGAAAGTTTAGCCTAACGAAGGTTAATTCGTATTTATTGTTTACCGTTAGTGGCTTCGTTTTTCCCAACAAGAGCATGATTGTGTCAAAGTTTTGTGAAAGTTCCTGGTGTTTACAAGGAAACTGAGCATCATCATGTCAATTTACTGGGCACGACTGTGATTGGTGACATGGCATCTATATTACTTTCTTTTATTTGGAGAACTTCAGTTTCGCAGAAATTTTCAAAACTATATATTAATGATTTTCCAAGAGCTTGAATCCTTGACACGCGTAAAACATACATGTTACAAAAATTATCTTTTAAAAAATTAAAAATAAATTTGAAAAGAGTTGGGCCTTGTATAAAACATGTGCCGTGGAACGTATCAAGACGTCATGGCATGAGCCACACCGTACACAAGCATCGTAGGTCTTATCGTGACGGGTCTTGCACAATTACACACCTTTTTAAACACTTGCACAATTACACACCTTTTTAAACACTGATATAATAGAGGGATACGATTGAACGAGAACAAGATAAAAAAAATGAAAACAAGCAAGGGGTGAGCGGATGACTTGGCGTGAGACCTGGGGTCAACGCAAGAGGTGTGCGGGTGACTTGGCTCGCGACTGGTAGTCACGTGAATGACGTCTGATTTTACACATGATTCTAGTGTTATAACATGTGATTTGGTCGTTCTTGTGTTATTATTTGGTCACTCTTTTCGTTTGAACCGACTCTCTCTCTCTCTCTCTACACACACACACACACACACACATATATATATATATATATATATATATATATATATTATACAGATATGTCATTTCAGTAACACGTAAGCTTTAAGTCTTGATATCACCGTCGCACAATGTCTAATTTCATTTAGAACCTCGTATATAGTAGGTGACATCAATGGACTTGGTTGAACGTTTTGTAACTTTTTCTCAAAGAGAACGACATATAACTAGTTGGACATTGGTGTGGGTGTTACACGATCTCATGGTTTTTTGTAAATTTCATAGGTTAACGGATATATAGATAACATATAAAAACTATTAAAATTTTAACAACGTTAAAATAAAAGGGTTGAGTCTAGTGAAAAGGGAAGTCATATAGAAAAGTGTAAGAAGAAATCTTCTTCCTTGGATCAATCCTAATTAAATATTAACACTAACAAGGTGTATCAAAATGCACTAGATCAATTACATTCTAAATCACAATTCATGGATGGGCATGAGATTAAAACTGGTCAAAGGTTCAGATCTATTCTTACGTTTCTCACCATAATTAACTTTCCTTATCACAAGATCCTTCACCTAAAATAAAAATATACGTAAATCTGATACTTAAACGATTTAATTTGTAGTAGTGAAAAAAATAGTATAATCAATAGTATTACACCTAAGTTGGTGTCTTATTATTTATCATTCCAAATTTGATAGTAAGAAATTGTGCCCAATTAAGTGATTTGGTATAAAAAAAAATGGTGTCTGATCATTCGAGATCTGTCTTATATTGTGTCATATAATACTTTATCTTTGTATATCAAAATATTTAATGGTCTTGAAGCTAATTTTGTGCCAGTATTTATTGTATTCAACAAATACTTGCGAATAGATCACAACCAATAAGCAAATTTTCCACAACAGACTAGTTCTGTTAGCGAAAAGAACCCACAAACTATAGTTTGATTCAAAGTTTATTAGTATACATCAAACGCAGTTGAACAATTTAAGCATAAAATCGCATTATGTCCACTGATCACAGTACTTTATGGTACCAGTATGTACCCTTGTGCTCGCTATCTTGATCCGGTTCAATGTAGATGCATTCTTTGGCCTCCCTCCACATTGCTTTGAAAATTGGAGTCCTGTCGATCTTATAATATTCGCCCAAAACAGGCTTGATTGCATCCCTTGCCTCCTTAGCATGATAATGTGGAATGTATGAGATCAAATGATGCAATACGTGAGTGTGTGTAACGTCATGAAAAACCCTGTTTAGGAATCCAAAGTCCCTGTCGATTGTCGATAAGGCTCCTCTGATCCAGTTCCATTCAGTTGAATCGTAATGAGGCAAAGAGAGATGGGTGTGATGCAGATAAGTGATCAAAACGAAGAAAACATGTACGCCTACCACCGGAATTCCATACATGCAGATTACCCAAGCAGCTCCTTTTGCTGCTACAGCAAGCTTRATTGCGTAAAAAACGGCAAGWAGACCAAGATCAGATAYCAGAACYTGAATTCGTTCACGSTCAGTGAAAATAGGACTCATTGGATCAAAGTGGTTGGCAAACCTTCCATATTTCTTGCCAGAAATATTAGTCAAGAGGTATAAAGGAAATCCTAGGGTCAACCTAAA